GATTCGAATTTCCCGCGCATCTTTCGACGTGCTGTCGGTTTGCAAAATGGCAACAAGGTGGTTTCAAATTATATTCAAATGCTTCCCATTGTTGCCGGTCGTGATATTATGTAGATAAAATTCGTACGAAATAAAATAGATTTTAGGAAGGTATATTTAAAGCAGAACTAATAAATAGAGTTATGTTACTTCAAAATGATTTGATCGCTGCTGTTGGTATTACAAAATTGTAAGTTAACTTCGATGTAAAGCCAAGCTTGCGTGAAATATTGTTTTCATTCTGTATTAGGTGTTTCAAATACTGTAGCAGTTTAATTTATTTATATTTGTTTCATTTGTAAAAGTTAGAAACAACTACTATTCTTGGCTATCGACATAAACGTACGCACCCTAGGCGCATTCGTTTGAAGACTTTTTCAAGTAATAATCGAGTTTTTCGTAAGTCAGAAATTACAATATTTCAATAATAAGTAACTATTTCCAATAACAATAATGCCAGAAACTATGTGCTGTTGTAGCACCTCTACTTTTATTTCGTGTTAAATGTATTTCTTAGTGTTGATAATTATTTACAAATGTATAATCAATTACTTTTGTCTGTCATTTTGTGAATTTGTCTCATTATAGTAATGTTATCTCATGAGAATGTGTCATAACCCAAAACATCGCATTTGAGGTATTTTTACTTCCTTGTACACAATAGTATATACGGAGTAATGTGTAAAGAAAGTTAGGTATGTTGCGGAAAATCTATTTCGAAATTTCAACAGAGGTGTTTTTTTCCTTTCTTTGAAAACGTCCATCCATCATTCAAAACGTGTGCCCTTCCGTGAACAAAACGAACGCCTACACTATACCACGTTTTCCCCCTTCAAATGCAGGGCAAAGCAATTCTGGGAATTGGGTGCGCATCTCCGTATATGCGGAGGAGTCTACCCTGTGGTGGATCCAGGAGGCAGGGACTAGAAAGGACTTTTATAACATTCATCATATTATGATGTACAAAACAGTATTCTCATTATTGTTTACATCTTTATATTATACTAGTATTTTTTTTCAAGCTGACAATTTTAAAACATTCAAATTTGTTAATGGGATGTCCGATCTGAAATTGCTCCCCCCCCCCCCGAATTCTTTCTGCCTGCCCCGTCGGCTAAGCGGCCGACCCATGAACCCATTCCAGTCAGCCATCCAGGCTGTTATCACTTAGTTCCTACTCACCGCCCTCGACTCGCCCGCCCCCACCTCGCTACCTGGTGCTCGCGACACCAACACAATTCGTGTTGATAGCACTGTCATGGGCCTGGGGCCACTGCGGAGATACTTCCTGGCGCACCGTTTAAGGCATACACAACGGAATGCAGCAAGTCTACACATCAGTAAGTAGATAACTAAAACCGGGTTAGAAATTAAGGATAAGTCAATTCTTGGAAAAAACAATGTAGAAAGAAATGGACCAATGCCTTGAATCTATTGTAGATTGTTTTAACTACGTCTAAAAGCACTTCACTCCAAAATAGAAAAATTTTGGAATGGATTTGGAAAACTTGGGAAAACAAATTTTAAAATATGTTAAATTTCATGTAGATATTTGCTACTATTAACATTGGAACACCTATTGCTTTTATATCTTCATTGTTATTATTATTATTGTTGTTACTATTATTCTTCCTTCTGTTATTAGAAATAATGTTGTTGGCACATCTACTGTGAAGTGATATGTTAAATAAAATACATATCAAATATCAATAAAATGCAAAATGTATAGTGATACCACGATGTTTTAATATGAATTGTCCTATTAACATTATAATAGTATCATAATTATGTTATGACAGCGTAATTGAGAATTCTTGTGCGCTAAACTTTCTACTTTTCTTGTTAAATTGTGTGTTTGTTAGAGTTTTATGGATTGTATGAATGAATATTTTTATAGAATTAAAATTTTTGAAACTCTCAGAAATAATTCTGAATTAGTAGAATACAAAATTGCATAGATTAGCAGTGCTGCAGTTAAAATTTTAAATTTGACAATATAAATGAACCATAAAATTTATAACAAAGATATTGATGTACACGGGACATGAGTCCATTCTTTTTTTTATTTTTTTTATTTATTTCTGGCACATGAAGGCGGATTGCAAAACCTTGACTTCTATGTCTGTGTGTTAAAATGTATGCAATTTTGATATTACCTATGTCAGAAATAATTATGATTAATCTGTTTTTCAGTGTTGTTACCTGCTGGGTGTAGTCCACTATCTTGTAACTGCTTTGTTTCATTGTTATAAAGATATTTTTCCTACTTGATTTTTGTTGATGTTTTTAAGATGGGTTTACAACTGATTACATCAATTTTGAATATGCCAATACAGTTTATTTCATTAGAAAAATTAGTTCAGTTACACCGGAGACCTTTGTGCTTCAAGAGTTGCAAGAGACAATCAAGTTTTTACCTCTACATATCTAATGTCAAAAACAGTCCAAACTATGTGAGCTGTACTTTGGTAAAACATATTCTGTGCAATTTGTCTTAAATTCTGGGATCCCTACCCTAACTCACATGCAAGTTGAATTCTGAATACAGATGGAAATGAGCATTTTTGGTAAGAATTGCTAAAATATTAACTTCTGTGTAATGAAAACTATTAGCAAAATCAAATCAATTTTTGGCTATTATCTCTTATAATGCAGTTTCGGAGGGAATCAACTTATTGCCAAGAGAACATGGAGAACAATAATTTGAATAACTATATTTCCAATAAACTCCACAAAATGTGCACAGACAGAGAGGTTACATTTAATTTTGTATTCTTTACAATTTCTTTGTTGCAAAGAATATTTGTATCATCCCCAAAGAGAACTGTTCTTCCGATTTGAATCAACAATGGGTTAGTGCTTACATTTAGAATGATGATAACAGAGTTCAAAATCCAACCCTATGGGACCAATGGGGCAATGATTATGAAAGCTGGCAGTATTTAGTCACCTTTCCTTCCATTATGATTCCTTCATTTCTCTATTTTTTGAGATTATTGTTTAAGTTAAGAACATGACCAATTTAGAGCAATATCACAAATTCATTATGATGATTATTTTGAAATAAAAATGTTGCGATCAATTATGTGAAAAGCTTTTGAAAGATCTAAAAATATTTCAATAGGTGCTTCATTTTGATCCATGGATGAAGTGACATCTTAAGAAAAAATACGTCTGTTTCCATAGATTTATAATTTTCTAAATCCAGGATGGATTTCTGAAAAGGCTTAATATTTACTGAGAAAGTTTTCCATTTGTATTAAAAAAGTCTTATTTTTTCTAATATTTATGAAAAATTGATAAAAGAGAAATTGGTCATTCATTTTGAATTAAACTTTTGTTGACGCTTTTGAAGAATGGTTTAATCTCAGCTGTTATGAATATATTTGGATATGTTCAGGAGCATAAGAACACATTAACCCTTTGAGACCTCGTA